ACATGAACATGAATAACGCCGGAGACTTGAGCAAAGCCATAGCAAGACAGAGTGGTCCACAAGTGCAACAGGAATGCAACCAACTGGGAAAGCAATCTCCTGGAACAGCGGTATTAACCAACGGAGGTAGTTTACAAGTACCTTATATTATTCACATTATTCCTGGCTCTTCAGATAAGAAACATCTCCAGCAATGTTTGGAGGAGGGTCTTCGTATTGCGGACACCAATAACTTTCAAGCGATCTCAATTCCATGTGTTGGCACAGGAGGCTACGGCTTGACTGGAGCAGACTCAGCGGAACTGACGTTCAAAGCACTAAATGCATTCAGTGTCCGCTGTAAAAGCATTAAAAAGGTGAGGGTGGTTGTGTTTCAGGCTTCTATGATGCAGGAGTTTCTACGAGAGCAGAAGAAACAACCACTGCAAGATATTGAAGAAGAAGACAGTGATGCAGAGAATGCAGCTGCTAGGCAAACCAGAAGACTGAGACGTAGGCAGGTACCAGTCCAAGATAATGAAGACTTTGTAAGAATATCTGTGATCGGTAAAGACAAGTTCAGCGTGAAAGGAGCCTTGAAATCCCTGAAGAGAAAGTTAGGACCCGCTTCAACATCCTGGCCGGGTTATCGAACAACTAGGGGAGCACCTGATACGCTGAAACTGATATCGAAAGAGACTTGGAGGGAAGATCTAGGTAACAAATTGAATTAGTATAACCTCCACCAGGCAGAAAAAATATGAGGGATTACCTCATAGTACCATCGATGACCTTGTTACGAGCAATTGTCTCCGTCTCTACTTACAAGATCTCCTCCATCTTTCCCACTAATATGGGAAAAATCAAGGAGAACTTAATCGCAGGGCAATAATTTGTATAATTATTTTACAGAGAAAAGAACCCAGCGCTACGTCGGGAAATTGGATGCCCAAGTCAGGGCTTTTGAGCTACACCCAAACGCACTCCAATGTCACAACATGCCCTTCAGGGAAAGCTGGCTAGATGGAGAACATATATGGAGAGGAGAGAGTAAGGAATTGGGTTGCTTGAGGCGATGAATTCATCATCAATATTAAGTACAGCCTAACTAATATAATTATTTTTTTACGGAGATTCACTTGTTAACTAAAGCGTTTTACCCCAATGCCACTTGATGACAGAGGAAATGACGTCAATGTTCACTTGGTAAAACTCGATAGCTCTTCACCCAAATGTTTCGAAAGAAACTGTGATGCTGTGTTAGTGGGGGTATTACAATATAATTTAGTTTTATAAACTGAGTTGATAATGCCAATTGGCCACCTTAACGAATTTCTAAAGCTTAGGTTTCGAGAGCGAATGAGCTGACACTAGAAACGTTAGTTCGAAAGGTCAGCTTTACAAACTCTCAACAGTGGCAATTTACATATCACCTTAGTTCTTAAAAGCGAATTATGTTGTTTTCAATCGAATATGTAGGATAATCAGGCATTGTTTGATAGTGTCGCTTTGATCTGTTCGCGAGTTATCAGGCAAGAGAGCTCACGCTAACTTAGTTGCAATTTGTCAGTTTCAAGCAATGAACTTATCTTCGATAAACTTGTTTGATTAAAATGTTGTACACTTTGTTTGTGGCTAAATAATTAGGATGCCTCGTGAATACCACCACTTTTTTAAAACTCTGATTGCTTTTTCTTTATCAAACTATCAGAAATAATTCAGATCCAAATGATCAATTGATGTTGGTACAGATACAAGTTCTTAAATCAGGGTTGTCTTTAACGATGACATCCAAATGGTAGATTACGAGAAAAAGGTTTGTTGAAAATGCGATCTTTTCATTTTAGTTCTCAGAGAACCCGATGGCAAGGAGAAGAGGTCTGGACGATGCAAAGGTCTGGACGATGCACAGGTTTCCATTGAACAAGTCCCGGTTTGCAAAAACATCCTTGAAACTGGTTTTTATGAAAATGATCAGTTCATGTTGGTACTATACAATAATAATAATAACACTTATATAGCGCTTATTCGTATGCGTTCTAAGCTATTAAATAAGGGTTGTCTATCAGGATGACTTCCAAACGGTAGATTGAGAGAAAAAGGTTTGTTGAAAATGCGATCTTTTTATTTTAGAATACAGAAAAAAAAAGTCCAGTCTCGAAAAAAGATTAGGTCTGCACTATGCACAGAAGTACAAAGGCAAGCAGAAGAGGTCTGGACGATGCAAAGGTCTGGACGATGCACAGGTCTCCATTGAACAAGTGCCGGTCTGCAAGGGCATCCTTGTCACTGGGTTTTCAGAAAATGTTACCCATGATTTTATTGAACAGTACTTTGAGAGTCCAAGAAACGGTGGGGGTCCAGTGGAGAAGGTTCACTACTTACCTAAAAGTGGCCGAGCTGTGGTTGTGTTTCAATATAAAAAAGGTTTGTAACTCATCGGTCTTTAAAATATAGCTATTGTCTAATTCCTTCTAGCACAATACCTGACATTCAAAGCTCAAAAAGTGATGATTACTCGTCCCGACGATTGGTTTTTCTACTATGTCTGAAACACTCAACTGCCCTTAGTCTTTCATCACACTCAAGATTAACGGCCATGAAGAGTTGAGAAACGAGAAAATAACTTTCTCCGGGATATTCCTGACACTTAGTTGTTTTAATCAACAGATATGGAAAGGGTGTTAACGAGACATGAGGAGAAGCCTCACGTGTTACAACAAACCCAGGTGTCGATTAAAGTTTATCAAGATTTTCTAGAGGTTGAAGAAGTTGATGTAGCAGATGGTTCAGGTAACTTAGGAGCGACTGCAACCGGAGCCAGGGAAGCTCGAGTGAGCAAGAAGCACGATCCCAAAACAAAGCAGCTGCACATACCTGTGGATCCAGATGTCATGGAATACATCAATTCCACAGGTTTCCAAGCTGAACTGAACAATTTGATGGCAGTAAAGAAAAGCGAAATCACCTGGAAAGCCAACAACAAAATGGCTGTAATAGTATACCGTGGGGGAGAAGAGAGCGATTCCTGGCAATCTGAATGCGTTGACAAGATGCAAAGTTACCTCGGCAAGTTTGCAAAGTGCGATGTGCAGGTCAGCAAGGATTTCTGGGAAGCTGTGGTAGCTAAAGTTCCCAGCATTCGCGCCTGCTTGGGAGTTGTTCCCCCGCTGGTCAAGACTATTCCAGATTCAAATGTGGCTAGGATCGTTTCATTAGGAACAGATGTGAAAAGTAACGAGGAAAAGGTGAAGTCTAAGTTAGAAGAAATCTACCGCGAGGAAACCAGAAAAACTTACTTAAAGAAGAAAATTCCAAATGTTCCGCAGAAGGGCTTAAATTTCCTGAAGAAAATAAAAATTGCTGAGAAACTTCAAGAAAAGAACAAGGAGTTGGAGATCAAGTTCGATGGTTAAGCTGAAGAATTATATTTGGAAGGTCCCCAGCAACAGGTTACGGAGGCAGCCAAGAAGTTCTTTACACAAATCACTGACACGGTTGAAAAGAAACTTACTTTATCTGCCAGCTTCTTGGAGATTTTAAACACAGATGAAGGGCTTCAGACTGTAAAACGTGAGTTGGAAAGAAACAACCTGGAAGCAGTGTTCGTTATTGAGAAAGATGCCACCATAGTGGGATCATCAGCAGCGCATGCAGACAACGCGGCGAGGCTCGTGAACAAATTAATGCTGGAAGAGAAAGTTCAAGTGGACGAGAAAAGCAAGCATTTGTTGAAGTCAGCTGAGTGGCTGAAATTGTGCGACGAATTGAACCAAACGGCTGTTCGTGTCCATAGAAATAGCTGGAACGATACATATGTAACCGGGTTCCGAGATGACGTCACCGAAGTGATCAAGAAGTTTAATACCTTCCTCGAAAACAATTGCATCAGGAAGGAACGTTTTGTGTGTGAGTCTGATATTCAGCGGAGGTATCTTCTTGAGCTACGTCAAGATGATCTGCGTACTATACAAGGTAAACTGAAAGATTTTGGAGTGAAGATTGAAAAAGGAAAAGGCTATGATGATTTTGTCATTTCTGGAAACAGAGAGGGTTTGAAACGTTTAAGAAAGGAGATCGGCGCTGTGATAAATGCCACTGAGTCGAAAACCTTTGAGGTGAAACAGCCAGGCCTTCGAAAATACTTTGATAGTGGAAAAGGAGATCGGCTGGTGAAATCAGTAGAAAAAGACCAAGATTGTGCCATAAAAGTCCAGAAAAATATAGGTCGAGGAAGGGTGGACGAGGAGGTGCACCTCCAATCCGTATCCGATGGTTCTACTTCTTCATGCGACAGTGAAGATGATGCTGAGGATGACCAAGCTATCACTGTTGGAACTGACGCGTCCACCCTTGTAATTGCCCAAAAGCACAGAGTGTCGTGGAAATCTGGAAAAATAGAGGCAGAGAAGGTAAGATTGTCACTGTTTTCTTCGCACCAGGAAGATATAACATGAAAATACGTTAGAGGATACGGTTGGCATAGTTACGTAGTTTGGTTCTTCAATAAGCTCTCACGCGCTCATAGATTGTGGTTCCATGATTGAGTAACTTCTGTCTTGTTGGGAGTGCGAAGTCTGATAACGATAATAATCTGCCATATCGAAGAAGTAAACAAATTAATAACATTAATTTTTACCGTGTATTGCAGGCGGACGTACTTGTCAGTTCTCAAGGAGCATGCGATGAAGCAATCATTAAAGCCGGTGGTCCTCAGGGCGTAACTCCTAAAGTTGGTGACATCGCTGTCTCAGGTGGTTTTTCCTCGGTCAGTCACGTGATTCACACCAACTGTTGTAAGTGGAACAACGGCGGAGGGGAACCGGTACGAAACAATGAAGTGTGACCCGTAAATGTTATTAAATACGTGTATAAGTGTTCACTTTCGAGGGAAAGTACCTCTTTAAAATGAATTGACGAGTACTTATTACTTCATTCGATGAAAGCCTTGACAATATCGGATGCCCAAGTGGCGAAGCCTATCCATTATCTTGTAGGATAAAGCAACTGATGACCCTCTAGCCTTGATTTAATGTTCTTTCCGATGTAGGTTATCCTCACGCATTCTGTTGGGTTTATGACGCCGAAGCAATCTCAGGAAGAAAGCCTCACCCCTTACCGAATTCTTCGAGAATAATCAATCGAATGTATAACGAGAAGATTTTTGCATACAGTAACTTTCAAATTGTATATGTGAGCATCCTTGTTAGAAATTTTGAATAATTAGTAAGACAAAGATCTTTCAAGGAGAAAACAAATGTGGTTCTATTCCAAAGGTTATTGCCGAGAGGTTTCATCCAAACATTCTTGATCTTGATCCCAAAAGAAAATAGTATATGTGTGAACATCCTAGAAGGCACTCTCTTATCATCCTTTGGAAAGTTTTAGTAAAATTAAACTTTGATCTTTGGATAACAGATTCAAGGCCCCAGTAATTTGAAAGTTGGATTACGCTATCCACTGGTTAAATCTTTATCCAAGCACGTTTTGCTATCCTTGCACGTTTTGCTATCGATTGCTATCGATTTGTGATCGACGCAGCACATTTTGCCATCGATTATCCGCTGGATAGCAATGTATCCGTTGGATAGTGCTATCTGTCCTTCATATAAGTGGAGCTTGGAGTCTCTCAGGAGTGACCACTGAGTGTTTTTCCTTTCATTATCAATGAATCATCAGCCAGAAAGGTGATCGGAAGACAGGACAAAATATCAACAAGGGAATATTGCATGACTTAACGCCAAATTCTGACGGCCACATTTATGCAAAGTGTACATAGGACAGTCTAGAGAGTTACTATTGCGATTGTATAGGAGTGACAGGATTAACTAGATCCCCTATTGCCACCACATTATTTATTCAACGACTTCTATTTCATCTTTTGTAGACGCTACGGGCCATCGTACAAAAGTGCCTGCAAACAGGCGAATCGCTTGGAGTGAATTCCATTGCATTTCCAATCATTGGAACAGGAAACTTACACTTCCCACGCGATACAGCCTCAAGAATCATGTTGGATGAAACTGTTATTTTCTGCCGATCTAACCTTGCTTCTAATTTACGGGACATCCGATTTGTCGTGTTTAACCAAGATCAAGCGTTAACTGCTGCCTTCAAACAAGAGATGGACAAACTGCAACCCCAGCATATTGGCCACTCCGCCATCAAAGCTGAAGCAAGAGGAATAGGTTCCTTCTTTGGAAGAGAGAAAACAGTGGTAACATCGGGTGTTGGTATCGAAGTTTTGCAGGGTGACTTGTGCCAGGAGACTTCCGACGCCATTGTGAATATAACAAGTAAAGACTTGAATATGGACACTGCAGGAAAGTTGAGTAAGGAAGTGAAACGACGTGGTGGTCAACAGATACAGGATGAGTTGAATCAGTTCGGAAAGCAATCGGGTGGAACTGCATTGATTACCAGCGGTGGAAACCTACCTGCACCAAACATTATTCATTTAATACCGGACACCAACAATAAAGACCACTTCCAACAGTGCGTAGAAAGATGTCTTCAGCTGGCAGAGAAGCAAAGTCTTCGATCCATTTCTATCCCCGCACTTGGCACTGGAGCTTATGGTATGTCTGCAATGGACTCAGCCAGTTTGAAATTTAAGGCCCTTACAAACTTTAGCGCTAGCTTCCGTACCCTTCGCAAGATCAGGATTGTAATCTACGAGGCTCCAATGATGATGGCATTTCAGCAAGCACATCAAAGGAACTCGTTTTCTTCACAAGCAGGTGTGGTTCAGCGCATGCACTTCCATAGTCCCTTCAAAGTTGAGGTGACAAATGGCGATTTGACTCAAGAGAATAGCACCGAGGCTATCATGAATATTATCAGCGCGTACATGAACATGAATAACGCCGGAGACTTGAGCAAAGCCATAGCAAGACAGAGTGGTCCACAAGTGCAACAGGAATGCAACCAACTGGGAAAGCAATCTCCTGGAACAGCGGTATTAACCAACGGAGGTAGTTTACAAGTACCTTATATTATTCACATTATTCCTGGCTCTTCAGATAAGAAACATCTCCAGCAATGTTTGGAGGAGGGTCTTCGTATTGCGGACACCAATAACTTTCAAGCGATCTCAATTCCATGTGTTGGCACAGGAGGCTACGGCTTGACTGGAGCAGACTCAGCCCAACTGACGTTCAAAGCACTAAATGCATTCAGTGTCCGCTGTAAAAGCATTAAAAAGGTGAGGGTGGTTGTGTTCCAGGCTTCTATGATACAGGAGTTTCTACAAGAGCAGAAGAAACAACCAGTGCGAGATGTTGAAGAAGAAGACAGTGACTCGGAGAATGCAGCAGCTGGGCAAACCAGAAGACTGAGACGTAGGCAGGTACCAGCCCAAGATAGTGAAGACTTTGTAAGAATATCTGTGATCGGCAAAGACAAGTTCAGCGCGGAGAAAGCCGTGGAATCCTTGAAGAAAGGTTTTTCTGATGCTTGTACAATGGAAAAAGTTGAAAGTGAAGTCGTCAGTCAGCTTTCCGATAAACAGAAAGATGCCCTGAGAAAAAAAGCGAAAGACCGCGACGTCAAACTTGAAATTGAGGACGGCGTGAACTGCATTGTCGTCCGTGGTGAACCAACCCAAGCATCTGGAATGGTCGGGGAGATCTGGAAAGAGATCAATGAGAGGACCAAGAAGAAGCAAGAAGAAGAACAGGCGAAGTTGGTTTCAAAGAACATAGAGTGGAGCTATGAAATGCATGGCGCAAAAGAGGCGTTTGATCCGAAAGCAAATGGTAAGATTGAGTTGGCCTACAGGAAAGAAGAGCCCACGGCGCAGGTTTTTCTACTCGGAGACAAGTTTGTCATCGACTTGAAGAAAAACTCTGGGCGTGGACAAACGTCTGGTGAACAAATAACACTGTCAAGAAAGGTTATTGGTACTGGTGAAGGTTAGTTGCTATACATTTTCTTTTATAACTTATTTTGACATAGATTCACTTTTTAACTAAAGCATTTTGCCTCGAAGGAATTATTTTTCCCAAAAACTGGACGCCAATGCCAAATGATGACAGAAAAAAAGAGGTCAGTGTTCACTTGGTAACACTAGCTAGCTTTTCACCCGAGTACAAGAAGGTTATGGATCAAGTTTTGGACCTTGTTCGTTCAGTTGACATCGTGAGCATAGAACGAGTACAAAATCCTTATCTGTATCGGGCCTACCAGTTACTGAAGCAAAAGATGGAAACTGAGAATGGAGAAAGCAACGAGCGACAATTGTTCCATGGCACAAATCCTGACAACGTACAGAAAATAAATCAATCAGGGTTCGACTGGAGATTCTCGGGACATATGCACGGTGAGCATCTCCAATAGATTTGCATTACTCAGTTGATATGTTAGTCCTGAGACTTTAGTGAACTGATGCTACTTTTGGAACATCTTTCTATCAGCAAAGATAGAAGTGGTTAGAGTTTTGAACTTAAATTGTCTTTTCTACACTATATGTTAAAACTAATTTTGCATCGTCTACCCTTTTCATACCAGCACAAGGCATCGTACATAACCCAGGTAAAGACCCATTGACCATAACAATGTTTCTCTCGAAAGTTTCTTTTTAATAAGAGCTGGTGAAACAATGTTATGCGTTCTTCCTTCAAAATTCCTTGGCAAGCCATTTTTTTAAACAAGAGGTCTTCGATGTCAAGGAAAAACCTTTATCGAGGACAAAATTTTCCCAGCGTTACTTATTTCACAAAGATCAGTGCTTGTCAAAGTAATTGTGCAGAGCTTACCGGAATGGAACTCCGACAACATTATATCCTAAGCTTTGACAAATTTTCTTAACAAATTTTCTTTGTCCAGAGAAAGTTTGCAATTATGGGATGAACGGATAAAATTTAATAATTGTAAAAATTGACTGGAGGGGTTTGCTTGGATTTAATAGTGGCTCTTCCACGGCTTAGCTTCTCGTTCACTGTCCTCCAGGTAAAAATTGGAGTTTGCAGTTTTGGTTTTTCGGAGAGGGGAATACTGGAAAACCCTGGCGAAAACCCATTGAGTCAGGAAGAAAACCACACAAAACGGTCGGGAATCGGAAACAGGCCACAACCACTGTTACCTTACGTCATCTCTTCCCTTCCCCTTGATAGTTAAATCATTGTGTAACTTCAAAAAAAAACTTTAGGAACTAGCTCCTAAAGATATATCCTCAAGCTTAGCTAACTAAACTGGAGTCTAGTGTTTAGGACTCTAAAATAAATGAGAAGAATGTTTCACTACAGGCTGCGTGTCCTCCAAGCAATATTAATACAAGTTGGACCGAAAATGACATCAATTTGCACTTGACTATTTTTCAGGAGCTAAGTATGGTGCTGGAGTTTACTTTGCCAGAGATGCCTCTTATTCCATACATTACGCAACTCAACCCAGTGTTGGCACTCATCGAGTTATGTATCTTGCCCGGGTCCTATTGGGTCAATATTGCAAAGGCGAAGAAAGTATGAGAAAACCTCCCCCCAGAGATCCCGCGTCTCCCGAGATTCTATTTGACTCCACGGTGGACAATTTGTCTAAACCTTCAATTTTTGTCGTGTACCAGGACAGCCAGTGTTACCCAGAATATCTTATCACTTTCTATAAAGCAGGACAATGAAACAATGAAGAGAGGATTCTTAAATTAGCGAGGCGGTTTCACTCATCTCCAAAGTATGAAAAGTAATCTCACTGGTAGACTCTTTACATTTTTTACAGCTACGAATTCTGAACACGTTGCTTAAAAACAGTGCAATAGGAAGGTCACGATAAAGGCAACATCATGATACACCAAGCAGCCGTTGATTAAAAGACATAACTTAGTTTGTAAGCGCAATTTCTAGTACCCTCAGGGATAAGGATTTTTGGATTCTCTTGTTTTTAAGGCAATCTAAGTTGGGTCTAAGTTCGATCGGAACGTTAAAATAATTTTTTTTCTTGTTTGAACTCTCCACAATATAACATAAGCTTAGAATAAAACCTGTTAGCGCTAAAAAGATTTTTGTTTTGTCCGTTGCTCAGCTGTGTCAGCGACTGACGTATTATGGTTTTCCTCACGCTGAGAAGAGCTTAAAAGTCATTTCCTTGTTAAGCATTTTATTCAGCTCGCTTCAATTTTTCCTTAAAATAATTCCCTTACCGTACCAAGGTGAGATTGACCGGCTTGTTTCAAACGTAACAAACGACATTTGTTCAGCATTGTAATAAAAGCGGTGAGATGACTGAGAAACAGCTGTCAGATGCAAGAAGCTTAAATAAACACATTTTTCTTTGATTCAGATTCAAATAACTTGGCAATAATCTTTATTAATCTCAGGCAGGACCTGACTACATTTTAAAAACTAACTCGATACGCCCTGAATATCAATTTCAAAATGCAATTGCGTGCTCTCAGCTCTTTTGAATTTAAAGAGCAAGATGAAAGATTTCTTTGTGCACAGGGTACAATTCAAGCCTCTTGCTTCCTTCACAACCAGCTTAACGTTTTTCATTGTAAATATTATATTTTTGTTCTCATTTTGATATTGTCAACTTAACTGAGAGTTGCTAATGAAGAAAACACTCTGATCAGCACCTGCTATCAGATAAAATGCGAAACAACCGACATATTTATCTCGCGCTCCTTTCGCACGTTTCTCTCGCGCGTGACGCAAGAGTGACCTGTTCCCCGCGCGAGGAAACTAGTGCTAGCCACCTTAAGTTTAAATTGAACCTTTAGAGAAGAAAAACAGTTCACTTACGACTTAACAGAGAGAGTTTAAATTACAGAGCAGAACTCGTTGATAAAACTGTTCCAAATCGATCGCACCGATCACTCGAAGAGTCACAGCTATAATTTCTCTTCCTGTTCCCTTTTAATCTCAAGGAACATAATTTTTTGAAGGCCTTCCGAAATGATGGATACCTCAATCCATAAACGACTGGGTTACAAACCGAGTTGGCAAACCCAACCCACATTGCCGTCACTCGGGGACATTTCGAGGAACCTTCATAGGACCAGCGATTTTTCCGTAAGTACCGGCCGTGTAAAATGGCGTATAACAGAGAAGGAATATCCCAACAACCAAAGCGAAAGTCCCAGCTGATTTTATTTCGCGCTTCAACGAGTGTATTTCGACTGTTCTCGACGTGTGTTGTCGTTCGCTTTCCACGCACATGTCCGCGGACGATTCGCGCAGGCTTCGTTCGACTCTACTCAGCTGTCTTGCTTGTAAAGACGGTTTTGAAGACAACAACGTTGGAGAAGAAAATGATTCCAAATGGTAAAATAACAAATAGTCCCACAATAAAGAGAATATACATGGAATTTTGAGGAGTCACGGTTTAAGTAACTTGAGCAACCGTAAGTATCCGCTCGGTACTCTGCAAAGTCAGCTAGCGGTATATTTAAAATGATACTTACTGACAGTTCTTGTGACTATAAATTGATAACAAAGTGGTTTCTGGATGGCTATGTTGTGAGGTAAAGTTGGAAGTTGCTATTTTGAGACTTTTCAGATAAGTTTTGCTTTTTGTTTTGTTAAGCCTTGCTTTTTGCGCCTACGTGTTACTTTGGTAGATTTCTAGTTTTGATCTTTTATTTTTAGTGTGTGCTTGAACTTGCATGTTGGCTCAGTTCGCGGATTTCTTTCTTACCGTGCTAGACATTTTAATCACTTGTTATGGTTGAGAATAATTAGTTTCATAGGTGGTCATGTTTGGGTTGGTAAAACTGACCTTAGTTTTACCCACACTGAAGATCCTGTTTGTGCACGTGATTCTCTAACACAGCTCGATCATTGGCGTTTAATTGGTTCCTCGGTGCTCGCCAAGTACTTCCGGTCGGAGCGAGCCACCCAATTTCCCTATTTGCAAAACAACGAATACACTATGGAAACTCCCACGGTAAGCTAACCCAAACATGTCTGTGATTTTTGTACTTAATACGTGGGCACTCCTTGCTAAAAGTAGAAAGAGCAAAAAAAAAAAAAAAAAAAAAAAAAAGAAAAGATCTGAAACGTTGTAGTGGGAGAGAATAAAATGGAGAAGAGTCTTGGTACTTCTCGTTAAAAATCAAGCGAGTTGCTAAACCTCCCAACAGCTTTGTAGCGATCAACACTTAGCAAACACATATGAAGAATGGAAATAAACGATAACGTGAGGCCAACGGAGGCGATAGCACGACAACAAAACTTGCCAAAAATCCACTCTCCGATGGCAGTAGTGGTGGCGTTAAGAACCATTATGATCACCTTTGTCAAATCAGTCAGCCCTAAGCTAAGCAAGATGAAATTCGTGTTTTTTCGTAGATGGCGGAATTTCCCCACCGAGATACAGATTAAACCGTTCCTTACAATTGTAGTTTTTATGATAAATGTAAACATGATCATCTAAGCGACAATTTTGACAGTCCCGTCCTTTTCAGCATCGTTCGTTTTTCCGTTCAACATTTTAGCAGTCTAAACAGCCCCCTTCCAAAAGATTTCTAATCAGCTTGCCTCTTATCTTGTGATGCTTTGACCTGGTGGGAAATCTATTTGCAACTGACGAATCACAGGTCACAAAGGCACAATATGAGTAAAACAGTTTTCATTTTGGTAATTTCCATGTACCAATTTTATCCCGGTAAACACCTGCTAACGAACGCGAGTTAAATAAATCATCGTTATAGAAACTGAAATGTTCGGCTAATATCTTGTGTTTCCCCTTTGGAACAGCTTATGGAGGCGCGGTGGCCTCATGGTTAGAGCCCCGGCCCGGACATTGTGTTGTGTTCTTAGGAAAGACACTTTACTCTCACAGTGCCTCTCTTCACCCAGGTGTATAAATGGGTACCGGCAATTTAATGCTGGGGGTAACCCTGCGATGGACTGGCATCCCATCCAGGGGGGAGTAGAAATACTCCTAGTCGCTTCATGCTACAGAAACCGGAGTTAAGCACCGGCCTAATGGGCCACTAGGCTCGTAAACAGANGTGGAGGCGCGGTGGCCTCATGGTTAGTGCGCTCGACTCCGGATCGAGTGGTCCGGGTTCGAGCCCCGGCCGGGACATTGTGTTGTGTTCTTAGGCAAGACACTTTACTCTCACAGTGCCTCTCTTCACCCAGGTGTATAAATGGGTACCGGCAATTTAATGCTGGGGGTAACCCTGCGATGGACTGGCATCCCATCCAGGGGGGAGTAGAAATACTCCTAGTCGCTTCATGCTACAGAAACCGGAGTTAAGCACCGGCCTAATGGGCCACTAGGCTCGTAAACAGATTTTATCTTTGGAACAGCTTACATCCAAGCTAAGTATCCAAAACTTTTGCTTGAAAAACAAACAACAGCTTACAAAATAACGCGAATACCACTAAACCTTTAAAATTTTTCTTTCAGTTCGACCGGTGTTACGGTAACAAAAGTCCTTCTATATAATTTGAATATATCAACAAAGTTGAAATGGTAAATTGGCCACCGTTACGATTACAAAAGCTGACGTTTCGAGCGTTAGCCCTTCGCTCCGACGAAGGGCTAACGCTCGAAACGTCAGCTTTTATAATCGTAACGGTGGCCAATTTACCATTGCAACTTTGTTGAGACATTCAAATTATTTAGTTCCCCCACCGACGCAGCCCCAAACAGTTTCTTTCGAAACTATCAGCCTTTATTCAAAAGTCTTTCTATGCCATGTATTTATACCGCCCTTTTGCTTTGTTCGTCTTTTTTCCCATTGCTTTTTTTTATCATCTTGGCGGCATTACAAACTTATTCTATTTGAGAGCGGACACGGAAAGTCAAATGCAGATTGAAAAAGGTCATGCTCCGGTTGCCAATGTCTTTGTTGAGAATACGCCAAGAAACCTTAGAGACAATGCTCAGAATACTATTAATTAAAACTAGAGTTTAAGATTGCCATATCTTGATATTCGAAAAACAAACTATTAGTAAATTTTATGATGTGCTATTGCAACTAGAAGCACTTCAGCTGAAGCAAAGCGTTACCATTACGTGAAGTTATATTCTGAAGTGCAAAGTCCTTCTTAGACATTAACCTGTTTAATTTCTCCTTCTGTTCCTTTGTTTTCAGTGAATATAACATCTCTTCATTTTCAATTCAGTTCAAACACTTCTCCTTGACGTCAAGGGCAGATTTTGTGATAGCGTGACGTTGTAATGAGGAGTTTTGTTTAATTAAAAACTCGATCCGCTGCCGTAAAGAATTAAAAATTAACTTATTACGGTTACACTGAAACCATTAGGTAGCATTAACCAAGAAGTTTGAGCCAATTGGCATATAATCCAAAATTGTTCATGTAAGCCTTGTTAGAGCGCACTTCAATTAAATGTCGTACAACCAAAACAAAAGAAGTCGCAAAGGCCAAACAGTGCAAACAAACTATCAGCAGCCAATAAGAATTCAGAGTAAAAGCATGCGCGGGTTAACGCGGGGGACCAGCAGGTCCCGATTGTTATAATCTTTGAATCTAATTGGATGAAAATCAAAGATGGCGCGACTTTGGCGGGCCAATTACATTGCAAAAGTCAAGTGAGACCACAGCAATTTTCCGGATTTCACTGAGTCTAACTGCTGCCAAAGTCATATCATTTTCAAAATTGTAGCAAGAAGATCGATTGCGGTAGTAATTTATGACACATATAACAGATTTAGCTCCTTCATAGCCTAACATCAGTATCCTTTTTCTCCACACTGTTAACTCGACATTTCCTAAAATGCTGACAAGAAGAATTTAACAATCAAGAGCTTCGTTGTTTGGTTCGTGATCATTTCCTTTATCCTTGTGACTTTAAGCTTGATTCGGGGGTGATATTGTAAGGAAAATTAGATGATGGTCACTCTTAAGAGACGTAGGGTTAAGGAGTTAACGCAAGTTACCAAATACAATTCAAAACTACACGAAGTAAAGAAAAAACCGAGTTTTCTTACAAATAACAGTGTGGTCGAGGGTTTAATAAATATTTTAGCAATTCTAACAACATTGATTTCTTTAATAAATAAATTCACACCATTTAAGCTCTCCTGCATCTGATAAAAAATATATGAAAATATACTTAAGCTGACATAATTCACTATTATTTCTGCTTTTTGTAACAATTGTCTCTTTTTCACAAGTAATTTTCACGACCGAAAACATTAGTTACAGTGCGTGCTTGGAAGACATCCTCTTTGGACCAGCCGTGGTTGGAGAACAGAAAAACTATTTCTTCTCGACTTTAAACTGGGATCGTTTTGGCCTTTTTGAAGTTTTCTTCTGCTTTTTCACATCTTCTTTCACTGCACAGATAGAAAAAAAGAAGAAGAAGAAGAAAAAATAAAACAAGCTTAATTTTAGTGACGGCGCTGTTCTGGCCGGACTAGAAAAACTTGCTCGAGCTAGTAAGGCTACTCCTCATGAAGACTCGCGTAGACGCGCGTGCAAGTTGCGCCTTCCCGCGTGTTTCAAGAGTAAAAAAGAAAAGGAATTCTTTCCAACAACGTCTGCAGCGTACAGCGCCGAAAACTCTAGCAAATTTCACGCATAGTGCTTGCGAGATCGCACGTGCGAGTTGCATAGTCTCAGGTGTTTTCTGAGTCAAAAGGAAAAGGAATTATTTCTACTACCGTCTTAGCATACAAAGCCTAAAACTCTCGCGTATTTCACGTGAAGTCCACGCAGGAATATAAATTCTACTACAGTTCGGTCTGAACTATTCCTGCGAGTTTTCCACGCTTGTCCCCTCTATTTATCGACACGGTGAACACACCAGTTCTGACGAAAGAAAAAGATATCTACACGCGCATAATACGCGTATAATGTGCGCGAATAACACGCAGAGTGCAGTGATTTTTACTTTGCAATTCTTCTTGCTTGATTCTGCAACCGCTGACAATTGAGCCCGCTCTAGGGCTTCGGTAATTAAAACGAAACGCGATAGCTAAATGAAAGGTACCGTAATGGCAATGGAGCGAGAATTTTGAGTCGGGTTGAAGGAAGGAGGGAGATTTGGGTCGAGTCGAGTAAGAAACTCAACCGATCTAATTGGACTCGACCCAAACCTTCCTCTTGTTTTGGCTCCGCCACTACTACATCTTCATTATTTACCTGGGCTTGGACTTGAATCCATAAAGAAGTCATCCTCTCTAGGGTCGAGTATTGGCGGTGGTTCCTGATCTCCAGATTCTATCAGACATGACAGGCAGTAAAAGTCATTAAAAACAGTTTTCGTGAACACTCTTCCATCGGGAAAGAACTCAGTATTGTTTTCCACTGAACACATAACATGCCTGCAACATATTAGTACGTTTCATCACATTTGGGGAAACGCTTTGTAGTCAACGCGCTGCACCGCAGGTGAAGAGATCTGGGTTCGAACCCTGGCCCGGCACGCGATCATAGTGCTGTTTTCTTTCGGCAAGACACTTACTCTCCCCATGCCTCTCTCCACCCAGAGATATAAATGGGTAAGTAGGAGAGCGCTTAAGTATAAAATATACTTGTTTTGAAGGTTTAGGGTTCTCCCAACAAAGAATTACAAAGTGCTCACAGTATTCAGAAACCTGGGAGATAGTCAAAATAAAAGTTAGGATTAGCGTTTTGCCTCTCATCAGCAAGTGTTTAATAAGCTTCCCTCCCCCTTCATATGGACAGCAAGCAAACCCCTACGACAATTGCCAAGAGATAATAGAGAGAATAAAAAGCTACAGTGCAGAGAACAGTAGCTCTGCGCGTGCATTTCGAAACTTTATGTATCTACTGACCGTTCTATGCAAAACAACAACGTTAAGTCCCCAAATCTTGCGTTTTCTGAGAACGGAAACATCGACAGCAAATAATAATAATAATAATAATAATAATAATAATAATAATAATTTTATTTATATAGCGCTAAAATCCAATAATTGTCCAAAGCGCTACCTAATTACAATATAAAATATAAAAATATATAATATAAAATATCTACAATATACAATATAATTCAAATATAGCCTAAGTTATCTACTATATAAATCAAAAACATCTCAAAACAAAACGAATCTCATAACCTATATGCTAACTTA